AAATTTTAAAAATTAGCCAGGCATGGTGACACGTGCATGTGGTCCCAGCTGCTCAGGAGGCTGAGGTGGAAGGATCACTTGAGCCCAGGGGGTTGAGGCCACAGCAAGCTGTAATCATACCACTGCACTCCAGCCTGGGCAACAGAGAGAGAACTCGTCTCAAAATTATAAACATTTGCTGGCCATGGTAGTTCATGCCTGTAATCAGCACTCTGGGAGGCCAAGGCGGGTGGATCACCTGAGATCAGGAGTTCAACACCAGCCTGACCAATATGGTGAAACCCTGTTTCTACTAAAACAATACAAAAATTAGCCTGGCATGGTGGCGCACACCTGTAGTCCCAGCTACTCGGGAGGCTGAGACAGGAGAATTGCTTGAATCTGGGAGGCAGAGGTTGCAAAGAGCTGAGATCGTGCCACTTCACTCCAACCTGGGTGACAGGGCAGTACTCTGTCTCAAAAAAAAAAAAAAAATATATATATATATATATATACACACATATATATATAAAATATATATATACACATATATATATAAATATATATGTATATATATGTGTGTATGTGTGTGTGTATATATATATATATAAACATCTATGCACCTCACAGACCATCAAAATATGTAAAGAACAAACTAATAGAATTGAAGGGAGAAATAAACAGTTCTATAAGAACAGTCGGAGACTTCAGTGCCCCACTGTCAAGAATGGATAGAGCAAGCGGACAGAAAATAAGTAAGGAAATAGACGATTTAACAAAATAAAGCGACTCGATGTCTGTCAGACACATACACACATAGAACACTCTACCCAACAACAGGACATGCACTCTTCTTAAGTGTACGTGGAACATTTTCCAGGGCGGACCCTATGTTAGACCACGACCCAACCGAAGACTTTAAAATAGCCATACAGTGTATCTTCTCTGACCACAACAGAATAAAGGTAGAAATCGGTAACAGAAGTCAAACTGGAAAATTCGTAGAAATCAAACAACATCTTTTGTTTGTTTGTTTGTTTGTTTTGAGACAGGGTCTTACTCTTTGACCCAGGCTAGAGTGCATTGGCACAATCACGGCTCATCGCAGCCTTACCCTCCCTTGGGGCTCAGGCAATCCCCCCACCTGTAGCTGGGACCACAGGCACAGGCCACCATGTCTGGCTAATTTTTTAATTTATTTTTGTAAAGGCAGAGTCTTGCTTTGTTATCCAGGTTGGTCTTGAACTCCTGGGCTCAAGCAATCCACTGGCCTCCCAAGTGCTGAGACTCTGTGGGCATGAGTCACCGCACCCAGCCTAATTATTTTATCAAATTAGAGACAAGGAATTATATGCTAAAGAAAAAAATAACATAGAGTAGGTCAGCATTACCAGACTAAGCATTCTTCACAATATTCTCAACTCCCAGGAAGGCAACTGGTCAGAAAAATTAGGAAATTTCAGAAAGACTATCTCATGACAGCATAATTTTTCTTCACTGAAACAAAAAATTAAAACGAAGCCGCAACCCAAATAAATTTTCAAATGGCTCATTTGTTAGGCAAACACACACATTTACTGATGGTGAATTAATTAAATCATATTTAATTCCAGAAGCCAAAGAAATGTGTTCGGAGAAAATAAACTGGTTTGACTCGTCACTTTTGGGTAAAAACAGTTGCTCAAACAGTTGAGGATATTGAGAGCAACATCAATAGCCAATTTTAAAACAAGGCAAATGATTTTGAGTGATTTTCCTTGGCTTTTAATGACTCAACAGATATTTCCAACACTATGCAGGTGTTGTTTATTCAAGCAGTCAACGCCTGGTCTGAAGTCACTGAGTGTTAGCCTCTACAAATGGTCTGCATGGAACAAATCTGAGAATATTTTCAGAGAGCTGGAGAAAACGCCAATTCAGTACAACCTCAAGTGGAATCCACTAACGTGCTGAAATGGATAGTGATAAAAATGGATCCAGACGCCAGGTGTGGTGGCTCATGCCTATAATCCCAATGCTTTAGGACGCTGAGGTAGGGGGATTGCTTCAAGTCAGGAGTTCAAGACCAGCCTAGGCAACATAGAGAGCCCCCCCCGCCCCAATCTCTACAAAAGATACAAAAATTAGCCAGCATTCTGGCACATGCCTGTAGTCACAGCTACAGAAGGCTAGGGTGGGAGGCTCGCTTGAGCCCAGGAGCTGGATACTGCAGTGAGCTGTGATTGCACAACTGCACTCCAGCCTAGAGGACAGAGTGAGACCCCACCCCAAAAAAAGTACGTGGAGAAGACAAAGGCTTAGTTCAACAAATGTACAAAAAAATTTTTTAAATTCAAGGCGTTTCTGCATGTTCTCACTCATAGGCGAGTGTTGAACAATGAGAACACATGGGCATAAGGAGGGGAACATCATCACACACTGGGGTGTGTTGAGGGCTGGGGGGCTGGGGAGGGGCAGCGGTGGGGAGGTTGGGGAGGGATAACACTGGGAGAAATGCCTGATATAGGTGACGGGGGGATGGATGCAGCAAACCATCATGGCATGTGTGTACCTATGCAACAATTCTGCAAGATCTCCACATGCATCCCAGAGCTTAAAGTAAAATAAAAAAAAAAAAAAAAAAGCCACATTGAAAAAAAAATTCAAGGTGTTTAAAGACTTCTTTGTATTCAATGTAGTAGTCATCAGCAGGTTCATATGTGAAAAACATTTGACTCTATCACGTGTTATTCAACCAATGTGTCAACAGTGACCTTCATTTGTTCTCGTGGACTTAATAATGTTCAGTCCTGTGAATTTTTGTCATAAATAGAAGCAAGTCTCCTCATTTGCCCTATCACACAGCAGTTCAATGGTTTTGCAGTGGCAAAATTGTACGTAGGGTTTTTTAAAGCTCATAGTTAAGATTCAAATTTTTCTAAATGAGGACTTTCCGTGACCACTACAACTCTGAACGGCTTTGGGGATTATCTTCTGCTGCAGACTTGATCAGGTTTCTTGATGAATTAACCCTAAAACTACACGTATAGGAAACTTCCGTTCAATAAAGCCATTTGGATGACAACAATGTTGTTGGAATCATAAGCAATATCAAGCTACTTTTTCCACTCCTTCTGCTGTCAAAAATTAAAACAAGAAGCAAGATCTCCATCCCGTACAAATTTGCAGAGAATATATTTTTCAATACTGTTCCAGCAGTATTTGTCATACTTCAATGCAAGGGCAAAGGATAATCTCATATTTCAAAACCCATTTTACTGTGCTGTTGAGAAGCTTCTACAGAATCTTCCAGGGGAAGTAATTAATCTGCAGTGTAGTAGTGCGCTAAAAGTTAAATATCAAAGAAAGAATATAATAAAATTCTGTAAATGCCCTCGAGCGATGACTGTAGACAATTAAAATCTTGTGCTATGAATGTCGGTGTTCACCAGTATCTTATTTGTGTTAAAAAAACATTTCCTTGTTTTGTAAGTACCTATATAATACCTCAATTGTCCTGTTAGCCCACAAAACGCATGAATATTCATTATCTTGTTTGCAGAACATAGAAAAGCCCCTCATCCAGAGGGCCGTAGGTGTCTGAAAGTTGCAGAGAAATGTCATTAAAAGTGGCGTTGAAGGCTGGGCACAGTGGCTCACGCCTGCAATCCTGGCACTTTGGGAAAGTGAAGCAGGCAGATCACTTGCACCCAGAGGCTCAAGACCAGCCTGCGCAACATAACCAAACTCTATCTCTACAAAAAATGCAAAAATTAACCAGGAGTGGTGGCTCGTGCCTGTAGTCCCAGCTACTCAGAAGGCTGAGGTGGGAGCATCTCTTAAGCCCATGAGATCAAGGCTGCAGTGAGCTGTGATCGCACCACTGTCTTCCAGCACACGTGACAGAGTGAGAGCTGTCTGAAAAAAAAAAAAGCCCAGGCGAGGTGGCCTATGCCTGTAATCCCAGCACTTTGGGAGGCCAAGGTGGGCGGATCACCTGAGGTCAGGAGTTCAAGACCAGCCTGGCCAACAGGGTGAAACCCTGTTTCTAAAAAAAAAAAAAAAAAAAAAAAAAAAAAAAAGTGACTTTTTTGTGTGCCCACAGGAAAAAGAAAAAAAAAGTGACATTGAAGGATTGCTTGCTAGGGAAAGTTTAGTTAAGTATGCAATCTAATTATTCCAATTTAGAAAACAAAACCTTATCTGCATCCATGGTACTTTAATAAAAAACAGAAGTGAACCTGAATCTACTTCTTTCTACTACTATAACCTAACAAGAGCAGTTTAGCTTCAGCAAACAACGCCATCTGTCTCTCATCAGTGATGCCAATTTTAATTTTTATTAGTTTTATAGTTTTGTTTGTATTTCATTTGTACATCTTGTATTGGATGCAGACACCAATAACACTAAGGAATTGAATATTATGTTTGCTCATATACATGAGCAAATTATACTAAAATAAAAATTATAATTATATAATATAATTTTATTATATTATTATATTAATATATAATATTTTAATATAATGAGCAAACATTATATTAAAAATAGTCTTTATATTCAGCCGGGTGCAGTGGCTCACGCCTGTAATCTCAGCACTTTGGGAAGCCGAGGAGGGCAGATCACAAGGTCAGGAGTTCAAGACCAGCCAGACCAAAGTGGTGAAACCTGGTCTCTACTAAAAATACAAAAATTAGCCGACTGTGGTGGCACGCATCTGTAATCCCAGCTACTCTGGAGGCTGAGGCAGGAGAATCATTTGAACTCAGGAGGCGGAGGTTGCAGTGAGCCGAGATCACGCCATTGCACTCCAGCCTGGGTTACAGAGGGAGACTTCATCTAAAAAAAAAATAGTCTTTACCTATTTTTGTCAGGATGAGGTCTCACTATATTGCCTGGGCTGGTCTCAAATTCCCCAGCTAACGCACCCCTCCTGCCTCCACCTCCCAAAATGCTGGGATTTCAGGTGTGAGCTACAGCACCTGGTCAAAATATAGTCTTAAGTCACCACCCTAAGGTGGACATTTATTTTTATTTACAAGCGTCCAGTTAAATACTCAAATTTGAATTGGAATGATACAGAAAAGATTAGCATGGCCCTGGACAAGCATGACATGCAAATTCATGAAGAGTTCCATATTTTAATAAAATCTTGAGCTGCTGTTCACCTCAAAAATCCATCCATCAATCAATCAATACTCGATTTCGATAAAACATTGCCTGAAGTTGAACATCCCCCAAGATCAGAGCAATTGTCTCGATCGGGTGTTAGATGTGAACATGGATGTGAAGCCCCGAATCTTCCCAGATGTATTTTCATTTACTGAAAAGGAACCTCATGAATACACATAAATCTGTCACTTCGAGAAATGTGAAAAAGCTAAGTGCCGTACTTCTCATCAAGTGGTCACGGAAATGGCGGAGTGTCCGGAAGAGGCTTTGTTAGGCAGAACTGACCTGGACAGCAGTCTGGGCTTACCTCTTCAGATGCAGCAGTTCTCAGACTGAACGTGCACAGAATTACCTGGAGAGCTTGTTTAACAGAGATTCTCAAACTTCTCTTCCAAAGATTTTCACCCAGCAGTTCTAGAATGAGACCCAGGGGTGTGTGTTTATAGCAAACATCTCAGACGATTCTGACACTGAGGACACACGGACCACTATATTTTGAGAAAAAATGCTTTCATGACTCCTGATTTTCATGGCTCCATTCTGTCACTGATTGATTGATTGATTGAGATGGAGTCTTACTCTGTTCCCAGGCTGGAGTGCAGTGGCGCGATCTTGGCTCACTACAACCTCCGCCTTCCGGGTTCAAGCGATTCTCCTGCCTCCTGAGTAGGTGGCATTACAGGCACCCGCCACCATGCGCGGCTAATTTTTGTATTTTTAGTAGAGACTATGTTAGTCAAGCTGATCTTGAACTCCTGACCCTAGGTGATCCACCCGCCTCGGCCTCCCAAAGTGCTGAGATTACAGGTGTGAGCCACCACACCAGGGCTGTGCTTCACTTTAGATCCCAGATCTTTTTCTTTCTTTCTTTTTTTTTTTTTTTTTGTTTGTTGAGATGGGAGTCCCCCCTATCACCCAGGCTGGAGTGCAATGGCACGATCTCAGCTCACTGCAACCTCCGTTCCTGGGTTCAAGCAATTCTCCCGCCTCAGCTCCTGAGTAGCTGGAACTACAGGCGTGTGCCACCACACCCAGCTGATTTTTTTTTTTTTTTTTGTATCTTTAGTAGAGATGGGGTTTCACCATGTTGGCCGGGCTGGTCTCAGATTCCTGACTTTGTGATCTACCTACCTCGGCCTTCCAAAGTGCTGGGATTACAGGCATGAACCACCACACCCGGCCAATCTCAGATCTTTTTCCAAGCTGCAAGGTTGTTTTTCTGCAAGGATTCCCTACTGTATCAGGTGAGATGGAAAGAGGTCAGCCATTCCATCTTGCTCTTCTCTTCATCAGTGTTATAAACCCTCAGCCATACTTTCTGCAGAACAGTTTAGAAGACAGCAGTGCCTGGGGCTATTTTATTTGTAACTACCTAGAAGTAATTTTCTTGCTTTCGGGTTTAAAGATTAAAATACAAAATAAGTCAAGTTTCAGTTGAAAGCTAAAATGTGACTAAGGCTCATTCTCTAGCATTCTAGTTATTTTTTTAAAGTCTGAAACAACATAAACAATCTACACAGTCTTACATTTAGCGATTTTCTGAAATCTCCACTGAAGGTTCAGACAGACACAAAAAGCCCTTGCTTTATTGCTTGAAAAACAGATGAATACCATCATTTTTGGCCAAAATAATTAGTACAGTCACGCTTAATGGTTAAGATTAATATAAAACCTCTACCACTCAATATTAGTTTCAGTGTAAGGCATCAAAAACCTAGTGTCAGCAGTGGCTCACACCTGTAACCCCAGCCCTTCGGGAGGCCGAGGCAGGAGGATCGCTTGAGCTCAGGAGTTCGAGACCAGCCTGGGCAACATGGTAAGCTCTGCCCCCACCGTCTCTACTAAAATTCAAAAAAAATTAGGCAGGAGTGGTGGCCTATACCTGTGGTGGCTGAAGTGGGAGAATCACTTGAGCCTGGGAGGCAGAGTTTGCAGTGAGCTGAGATCACACCACTGCACTCCAGCCTGGAAAACAGAGTGAGACCCTGTCATCGGCCCAAACAAAACAAACCTAGTGTCACTAAAAAAGACTTTAAATAAGTGTAAAATTCAGGCCACTTCCTAAGCAAACATTGCTGAGGAAACCAAAGTATTAACCTAATTTTCTTTTTCTTTTTTTTTTGAGATAGAGTTTCACTCTTGTTGCCTAGGTTGGAATGCAATGGTGTGATCTCAGCTCACTGCAACCTCCACCTCTCAGGTTCAAGTGATTCTCTTGCCTCGGCCTCCCAAGTAGCTAGGATTACAGGCATGCACCACCACATCCAGCTAAATTTTTTTGCATTTTAAGTAGAGATGGGGTTTCGCCATGTTAGCCAGGCTGGTTTCAAACTTCTGACCTCAGGTGACCCGCCCACCTCAGCCTCCCAAAGGGCTGGGATTACAGGCGTGAGCCACTGTGCCCGACTCCTAGTCTGATTTTCAAAGGGTATGTCCCTCCACTGCCAGTCCCCACAAGCCACTGCCTGGTAAAACAAAAAGCATTTATTAGAAACAAAAGGTTTTTCTAGGATGGAAAATAATTTTTAGCACTGGGAAACGACAGGGTCAAAGCTCACCTGGTATCAGAAAGCTCTGGGCGGTGACTTCTAGTCTCAGTTCAGCTCCTGATGTTGGTGTGACTGGAGGACACGTGGGTTCACTGCCCGGTTTCCTTGCTGTGAGCCTAGAAAAGCAAGCACCTTGCTTTACCGAGGAACCCCAAGTGTGGCACGTAAGTGATGGTGAGGTAACAGCCTTGCTTATGTGACAGCTCCTGCACCCTTCCGATGGCCCTGCCATTTGGATTATTCACCACGTGTTTATTCTCAATCCCTCCCTCCCTCTCCCCCTCATTCCCTCCTTCTTTCCTTCCTTCCTTTCTTCCTTTCTTTTCTTTTCTTTTTTTGAGACAGGGTCTTACTCTGTCTGGTACCTGGGCTGGAGTGCAGTGGTGCAATCCTAGCTGACTGCAGCCTCAATCTCCTGGGCTCAAGTGATCCTCCTGCCTCAGCCTTCCCCGGTAGCTGGGACTACAGGTGTGCGCCACATGTCTGGCTAACTTTCAAACATTTTGTAGACACAGGGTCTCACCATGTTGGTCTTGAACTGCTGGGCTCCAGCGATCCTCCCACCTTGGCCTTCCAGAGTGCTGGGATTACACGCATGAGCCACTGTGCCTGGCGCTGTTCTCGATTTCGACACCTTCTCTGGATCGTGCCCTGTTCCCTGACCTCCCAAGTCTCCTGGCTGCAATCTCTGCTAGTGCACCCCCCCACTTTTCCCAAACGCAACTCCTAACTCCCAACCTCCCTCCTCCCCTAGTGTTCTCAGGCCTGGCTCCTGTCGCACAGAGCTCACCTCCATCCCTCTGCCCGTGCTGTCCCTGGGCAAGCCCCCCAGCCAGGCAGCTCTCAACCTGTGGGCCTCAGTGTGGTCTTCCCGGTACGAGGCTCACATCTCTCCTGACTCCCACCCGCCCCTCCCTCCCTCCCAGGTGCACCTGCGCACACTGTAATAATGCCCCTTCTGTGTCATCACGAGGTCATGGCCCTCCTCACAGCCCCGGCCTCCCCTAACTTCCCTCGGGCTCCTGGTGCTCTGGGCAGAGTGCTCCATCTCCTCCCCTCCACCCCCATGGTAATTAGAGGTTAGACTTGGCGTTCTTCAATGGTGTGGTCTGTCAATGTGGGTGGAAGAAAGATGACTTGAATGGAGAAAGGCAGCTTCAGAAAACCTAGAATACCCTGAAAATCCTGATTTTTATCCTCACCCTCGAGGATCCTATTTCACAGACGTCTAAAGATCAACTTACTTCCCAAGGTTTTTCCTTGCTAAACAGACTCCTTCTTTTCTTTTTTTTTATTTGCAATGGCATTTCGCTCTGTCACCCAGGCTGGAGGGCAGTGGTGCGATCTCAGCTCACGGCAACCTCCGCTTCCCAGGTTCCAGTGAGTTTCCTGCCTCAGCCTCAAGAGTAGCTGGGATCACAGGCGTGTGCCACCACACCTGGCTAATTTTTGCATTTGCTGAGGGTGATTTACTTCCAATTATGTCGCCAGCTTTAGAGTATGTGCCATGCAGTGCTGAGAAGAATGTATATTCTGTGGATTTGGGGTGGAGATTTCTGTAGATGTCTATTAGGTCCGCTTGGTCCAGATCTGAATTCAAGTCCTGGATATCCTTGTTAATTTTCTGTCTGGTTGATCTGTCTAATATTGACAGTGGAGTGTTAAAGTCTCCCACTATTATTGTGTGGGAGTCTAAGTCTCTTTTTAGGTTGTTAAGAACTTGCTGTATATACCTAGGTGCTCCTGTATTGGGCACGTATATATTTACGATCCTTAGCTCTTCTTGTTGCATTGATCCTTTTACCATTATGTAATGACCTTCTTTGTCTCTTTTGATCTTTGTTGGTTTACAGTTCATTTTATCAGCGACTAGGATTGCAACTCCTGCTTTTTTTTTCTCTCTCTCTTCATTTGCTTGGTAAATCTTCCTCCATCCCTTTATTTTGAGCCTATGTGTATCCTTGCACATGAGATGGGTTTCCTGAATACAGCACAGCAATGGGTTTTGACTTTTTATCCAATTTGCCAGTCTGTGTCTTTTGATTGGGACATTTAGTCCATTTACATTTAAGGTTAATATTGCTATGTGTAAATCTGATCCTGCCATTTTGATGCTAGCTGGATGTTTTGCCCGTTAGTTGACACGTTTTCTTCATTGTGTCACTGGTCTTTACCATTTGGTACATTTTTGGAGTGGCTGGTACTGCTTTTCCCTTTCCTTGTTTAGTGCTTCTTTCAGGAGCTCTTGTAAGGCAGGCCTGGTGGTGACGAAATCTCTCAGTAATTGCTTGTCCATAAAGGATTTTCTTTCTCCTTCACTTTTGAAGCTTAGTTTGGCTGGATATGAAATTTTAGTTTGAAAGTTCTTTTCTTTAAGGATGTTGAATATTGGCCCCCACTCTCTTCTGGCTTGTAGGGTTTCT